ATAGGACCCCCGTCTTCCCTTGCTCGTACAAGTTTGTCGAAGACTTCTGAGGGTTGCTCGTAGAGGTGTGACCGGTTGACGGAGGGAACAAATCTATTCAGTTGTTAAGTGGCTCTGCTGGTTATATGTGTATACTGATATATAAGTAGTAGATATATTAGATGTGTGAAACAGTTAGTGTTTACGGTTATGTGTACTATATATGTATGTATATATTTGTTTGTTTGTTCTAGCATCATCACATACAAGTATCTTGAATACTTCCGTGATGTTTTCAATGTTAACTCATTATTATTCATGTAACACTGTTTTCTTTATAAACTATTTCCTTGAATAAACATTATTATTAAGATACATATACGAATGCATTGTCTATATGCGTGAAAATATTAATCAATACAAAACTCAAAGCAATGTACATAATCATTGCACAAGGAAAAGAGACAATATAAGAACAAACAATTTTAGACTATATAAATCAAGGAATACTTTACTTTATTATGATCCAGAATTCTACAACAAACTACCTTGCCAGATCAGGGACCTTGAAACAAATCAACTGAAGATGGTACTGAAAGATTATTCAACAAACAAAGCCTTCTATAGCTACGATGAATTCCTTAACAGTAGATTTGAAATGAAATGTGATTTTTAGAATGTTGTATTTATTGTATTTGTCTCTGAGAAAATGAATTGAAAACTTTGAATTGTTGATATTGTGAAACCTACGTACCTACTTCGATATATTTTATATAATTTTAAGATATATTTCTGTATCTGTGCTGTATTGACCTGTGTAAAAACTTGATGTTTATTTCAACACCAATAAAATATTCTATTCTATTCTGTCTCAAGAAATATCATGAACATTATAATTATGAAGTCTTTCATTTTGTTCAGAAGGAAATTTTTGTTTAAGATATGCAACCTGTACCTAGGGTAAGCCCCTCTCTGAGACGATTTGATAAGTGTATACCGAAACATTTATTACCAACGATTTACAAATCGCAGCCAGGAATGTTAGATAACTCCAGTAAAAGGAACGAAAATCGAGATATGGTAACTGTAGCAATGAAAATAAAGGATAACCAATCATTGGTACATAAAGGTCTAATTAAGGAAGATGGTAAGGTGAGTAATTTATATTATGTTTTATTAAAAGAAAATGAAAAATTGGTGGAATAGATTTAACCACTCGCTATCAAAGTTATTTCACAGTTCTTCATCAGTTTTAAGTAATCTCAAATTTGAATCTTTGTTCGAAATTTTAAAAGTTAACTGAAAATCAAGTTGAAGTACAAGGTTTTTTTCCTATTCTTGGGAGGCGTCTGACTTGTCAATTTCTTCCAAGTATTTGGAAAATACTATAGCATTATGGGACCATCTTTATCTCGAAACACATTACAACAATTTAGTTCCCTGTACTAGTTTGTATAATTTCCTTGTTTGATGTTTGTCATATTCTTCTGGACATAATTTGGGTTATCCATGAATTGTTTGCCACCTGTGATACAGTGCCTAGAATACCAAATGCCTGTTTAATTTTTTGGGCTGTTTCAACAGCGCTTTAGTTCAATTTGAATTCGTAGAGAAAACTTGGCCGAAAATCGTTTAATGACATCATATAATGAGCTGAAAAGAGGCAAAAAGTTTAAATTTGAAAAAAATTACAGCAGTGTGTAGAGTACAAAATTATCTATCGATTAGTTTATACCACGACATACTAGAATCAATATTCATTTAGATATGGAGCTTCAAAAACACATGACATTAAAACGGACTGAATTTTTGAAACAATCTAATAGATGAATATCTTCCTGGCATGTATTCCATACACATTTGTTCGAAAATTGACCGAAATTTAGGAAAAGGTACTGTACCATCAGTTTTAATCATCTCTTGGTGATGCTAACTTGGTTAATGTAATGCACATCGTGAGCAGCATTTTTGTTCTAGTGAGGGAAAAGTGTGTTTGAGTTGACCAAGATTCAGCTAGNGGAACTGTGCAATCGATTACAGGTAATTTACCTTAGATGAATTTAGTGAAGTTACATTTATATTGACTCTTTTATTATAAAATTGATTGGTTCACTAATAATCCCTATATGAAAGAATGTTTCATTGTAGATAGGTATGTCCAAAGCGAGTGGGTCTATTCAGTCCTCTATTGCAACCCACGAAAGTTCATTGCAGGGACACAAACAACTTTATATGAAACCGATTATGTCATTTGTTGAGTAATCTTTCAGATCAGCTGGAAAGAGTGGGATTCTGCCAAATACTGAAAACTTGATTCGGTCTGCGGTGGGGCAGTTACAGAGTATGTGTTCTGCTACCAGAGACTGCATTTCCTTGTAAAGAATAATCCACTCCAAGATTGATGAACCGTGGTACATTTTTACCTAATGAGGAACTGATTGGCGGTCAGTCTGCATCATCTTCATCAGATAGATACCTACTACTCAAGCAACACATTTGTGTTGCTTGGGTAGTAGGTTACTGTGAGCCATTTCAGGAATACACTTTCTCATGGCTGCAGGTACTTACAGCGCTCACAAGTCACTCCTCATCCTTCCAGGTAACCTGTAATCTTCCAGGTCAGAATATGCAGCTCTGAAATCGTACCTGTGGACCATCATCTGGAATATCCTCTACGGCAGCCATAATGGCATAATGAAGAGGTTCCAATTAATTGCTCGATATTGAGGTTATCAAATGTTTAAGGTGCAAGATTCCTACCTTAATGAATACAGCAACCTTTTCATATTACGGCATCTGTAGTCAGCTATATGCACAATAAATTTTGCCTCCGATTTGGTTGTAGCAAGCTTAAGCATTTGCTGACCTGCTCAGAGATAAGTTGTTTCCCCTCCTGATGCAGATTCTGCTACTCAGGAATTTGGTGCAAGGCAAATTCAATTTGGCCCTTGAGGGGGCCGCACCTCCTAGCTTTGCTCAAGAGTTGGAGGACTGAGAAGATTTGTCTCCCAATCCAAATGTTACAGAAAGGACAGGGTCATTTAGTTGACATCCATCTCTTCTGAAGACTCAGTTTCAGATTTTTTTGTTTCCTTGTCTATAAAGGGTCCCTCAGGTGGCTAAAAAAGCGAGATCCTCATGGCAGAGCCACACATTAACCCACTCTCTACTTTCACTCGTTTTTGAAAATTTCGAATATTTCAATATTTATAATAATTATAATAATACGTCCATTTTCACCATAATTGAACCATAAGTGCAATTAAAACAGATAAAAATAGGGGAAAAAACAACTTTCAGTATAAAGGCGAATAGGCGGGGTATCAGCCAAGGCTGTTTTTCAACTCAACCTCAACAGTCAGACTTCCTTTAGCCATACAAATTTATATCTCAACAATCAACTGATTGTTGACAGTCAGTCCCCCTACAATAAGCAGTCGTCATGTCACTGGTAAGTGCACTTTCAGAGTGGATTTAAAACGTGCTCAAACGTTCAATGAAGTGAGTTTCAGTCATATGACGAAGAGTAAACCTTCCTGATCTGATCGAGATCGAGGTTCATCGTCACAGTGAAAGATAATTTTGTTTATCGGTTTTTATTTCTTGAAGAATATAAACTTAGTGTTGTTGGTGATGTGGTTAATCGTTTGGATATTTTAATGTTTTATGGCAAATGGTTTACTTTCAACGTGAGTACCTCCTTATTAATCATATCGACTGTCTTTACTTTTATTTTCATTTGCCTTGTTGACCTACCTACTTTACTCCTAAATAGGTAAAACTGCACGTAATCGAACTGTATTCATTGATAATGGTTTTGGTGTTTATACGATTGATAAAACATGATTCAAGTGAGGTCAATATTAATATTCTCTCGATATACTGTTTATATGTTTGGATTGACAAATATTCGAAAGTACAGAAAACTTATGAAAACATCACGGTTTNACCCATTACAACAATTTAGTTTACTGTACTAGTTTGTACAATTTCCTTGTTTGATGTTTGTCAAATTCTTCTGGACATAATTTGGGTTATCCATGAATTGTTTGCCACCTGTGATACAGTGCCTAGAATTCACATAAAACAGTCTCTGTCTCTTAACAGACCTATTTTATTTGGTGCGTTCTCTCACAATATCCAGTAAGTAGCCCTGTAATTATTGTTTGTTGAATCAGTTCTTTGGTTCTACTTTCGGGTAGTCCCTTTTATAAAAGTTTTTCTTGTGTGTGTTTCCAGGAATATTTTTACAATGGTTTTTTATGTTTCTCATATACATACATCGCAATCTGTTTATGTACCAAAAATTTTGGTACCTCATGTTTGCTGGAAAACTGATGTGTACTGACCTAATGGGCAACTTAAATGAAAATTTCTCACTGCACATTAAATTCCAGCTTTCTTTTCTTATTCGATTTTTGTTGTTTTATATACCTGATTTTATTAGTTTGAACTTCCATTGTCTAACATGATATAACAATTTGAAATCTCTGAAAGAACAAATGAAATTGAAAATTAAAATGAGTAACTAAAAATCTATACTTATAAATGCCAAAGTCACCCACTTCATTCATCACTGTTTATCTGTATAGGTAAGTCCTAGGAAGCTGAAATTTGGTATTTAGGTGCTTCTTAGATATTAGATGTGCACTAAGAAAGGATTTTCAGATATTCCAACTGTGGCGCCCCTCGTTAGGGTAAAAGGGACGCGTTTTACATATGAAAATTACCTTTACATCACTGTTTCTCCATACCGGTATATTTTTGAAATCTGAAATTTTGAATGTAGGTTCGTTTTATGTTGTAGATGGGCAATAAGGAAGGTTTTTTTAAATATTCCTGTTGGAGCGCCATCCGCGGGGAAAAAGGCGCGTCCATTAAACAAAAGTATTTTTTCATTACTATTTCTCCATACCGGTATATTTCGGAGGCTGAAATTTTGTGAGTAGGTTCGTTTTATGTTTCAGATGTGCAATAAAAAGGATTTTTAAATATTTCAAGGGAGACGCCAGATACAGGGGAAAAATTATCTTTAATGTATCCTCTATTATATCTGTCTATAATGTGATCAATATGACCCCTTACAGCATGTAATTTGAATGAATATTTTCGAAAATGCAGGTTCATAGCAGTTGCTGCGGTACCGGGCCCATTATATGCCGCTCTTTCAAAAGTAACCTCTATAGAAAAAATGTTTGTATTATCTACTGACAAAAAAAGCTGATTACGTTGTATATAAAGATATTCTGTAGTATATTCAATATCAACATTGTACCCATGCGAAGCCGGGGCGAGTCGCTAGTAACAGTTATATTAATAAACAGTGAAATGAAATTACAATGAAATGAAAATCAACAAAAAATTTAAAATTGAACAATTAAAAATTAAATATAGATTGAATAGATTTTGAACCAAGTTACTTCACGACGTTTCGATTGTTAGTGTCAACATTCGTCTTCGGTTGATGACTGGACTATTCCGAATAGTTGTCTATTTTCAATCAGATGTTTGGGCCTTGGGCCCTTCATCCTTTCTGCTGTTTGGGTGTTTGACTGTGTTGTTTCTTGTGGCGGGGCGGCAGAGGATTTGCTTTATCCTCTGACGTCTTCTTTTCCGCTTGTGGTCCTGTAATCAGAAGTTGTAGCGTGCTTCTGCTATCATTGTGGCCGTTTAGGCACTATTTCTTCATTTTATTTTCCGGCGAGCTTGGACTGCAGCACCGGGAACTTCACTAGAAGCGTCTGCAGCTGCCCTAAGGTCATTGAGAGACCTTCGGGAGAGTTACAGGCGTTCTCTAATGTTGAAGCGACCCTCGCGTACGAGACGTCGCTTCTGACTATGCTTTTTCCGACAGGTCTTGGGGGCTGTTGATTTCCGTTAGGCCTGTCTGAGGTCCTTTTTTTGTTTTCGGGGCGTTCAGGTCACCCGGGGAAACTTGCTGGGTGTTCTATCTCGCAATTAAAGCAAGGGCAAATTTTTGAGTCTTTTACATTCCTTGGTTAAATGCTGCCCGGCACATCTAACACAGGCCGGAACTGCTTTGCAGTTGATGAGTGCAATAATGCCCTGACATTCCCGATTTGCTGGTTTTTTCTCGCTGTGTGTTTCTCTTGTGCTCGGCAACGCGGTCTTTCAATGGCCTCTTAGTTTCACTGACATAGGATTTGTTTGGTTGCCTGGTTTTAGTGAGGCTGCTATGGATGGTGTTTCCGGATCTGAAGTAAGTTCTGATGTTTTACTTGGACCCAATTCTCTTTTTTCGTTAATACTCTGACGTAGGGAAGGGCCAACGATTATGGACATACAGGATTGCTTACTTACATATATCGCCACGTTAAACAAGCGCCGAGCAGATGTAACGTAACACTGGTGACACTTTTAGTAGCTGCCATAAGACACTGTGTTATTTTGACATTTTTTGAGGATTATTTTCGGACAGTATTACATTGTTTTTGTGTGTTTTGATTAAATTTTTATTTAACTATACCAATTAGGTTTCTGAAACATTGAGTTTGTTATTGTGAAAGTCGTATTTTTTTGTGCTTTTGGCCATTTTTTAAACTGGTGTAACGAGTAGACGCCATATAAGACTTCCGTTTTGAAGTTTGTTTTTCGCCATTGTGGAACTTTTTTTCGTTTCTTGAACATTATTAAATTAAATTAAGGTATAAATTGGAAATATTCACATTTTTGTAAGTAATAGCAATAATTGTCTAACTATTAAATAACCTTGTAATTTTTAGTTAAAATGTCTGGTCGTATTTGTGCAGTGTCAACTTGCAAAAGCAATCATTTGACTTTAAAGAAAAGTGGTGTTACTGATGTAATATTTCACTCTTTTCCTATTGCTAAGGATATGATTTCTACAACTTTGCAAAAAGAATGGATTCGTCGCTGCAAAAGAGGGGATAAATTCACTCTCAAAAATGGATTTGAAAAATTTTTGCGGTTTATGACTTTTATCTTTATCACGAATTATGTGTTTCGCACGTGAATTTTCCAGTCAGAATTGCCCCACTCTTCCTCCACTATTATAAGATGTAAAGAAGAAAGATCCTAGAGCGTATATGATGCAGCTGTTGGTGTGGTTTTCATTGCTCTTTGAAATAACATAATATTCATTTATAGGCCTAAACGTGATAGCCCCTATATTTACAATTTTACTGCATGCTTGAATGTTACCATGAAGACACTTCTAGTCTGACTTTAAAGTTATTTAAATTGGGTAACTCGGCACGATAAAAGTGTCATGACATTGTTTTGAGAAGAAACAACTGAATATACCTATTTTCCAAAGAGGTCGAATAAAGTAATGATTGAATTTTATTGTTACAGACTCATTTTGAAAGCGGCAGTCTTTAAAAACCTATTCTGAACTCTTTTCAACCAAATTTTCAAACACTAAAAAGGGCATAACAACAATAGGGACCTATTTCAAATTCGACCATACTTACTAATGAACAACACATACATTTCAATGTTATCAACTGAGGCCTTCTTATAAATTCCAGATGTGAAACCTAAAACTTTTAGAGATTTGAGTATGCTTGGGTGTTAGAAATCCCAAAAGTTCTCTTTGCCCTCTGAGGCGACATCTATAAGCAATATTAATAATATTAGTTGGCATCACTGCCGTGCTTCTTGTTTTCTATTGTAAAGTTGAGTAAACATTTTTTTTCATACCGACAACGGCGTTTTATTTCCTTAGAATCTGGAATAGTCTGCCGTTAAAAATAACATAGGGAAAAAAAAAGGTTTTGGCATTCTACTTCACCATCTTTATTCGAAAAAATGTGGGAATCTTCCAAAGAATGGAAGAAAGCAAGCAATAAATTCCAAAATAAACTATGTATTTGCAAAGATGTGTAAATCATGCAAAGAAATAACTTTCAAACACAAACTGGAAGAGAAAGGCCTTTTGATACAACTAATTTCATATAAACATAAAATTACACAAAAAAATTTCGAAACAACTATTAGGTTGTTTCAAAAGTTTTGTCCGTTTTCATGAGTACGTTAAACTGTAATACCTCAGTGAAAACTTATTCAATTTATTCGAAATAAGCGCCATTTGAATCAGTGTACTTTTGCTGAAGTAACACGAGTCAACTAATTCCGTCAGCATAAAAAAATGTTTTCCCGGGATTCGGTGATGTCGACGAAGGCCGTTTTCGTCTGGTCCTGATTGGGTTCTACCGATAAGACAGTTATAGAAGCGGTTGAGAAGATGGTAGTCGGTTGGCGAGAGGTCTGGATAGTATGGTGGGTGAGCAAAATTTCGACGCTCAATTCGTTTAATTTTCGGATCAGACCTCGAAACGTGCCAATTTCTGTCGATCGTTCAAATCGTAAGGCATTCACTTGTCGACCTTTTTGACCATTCCAATACGTTTTAACCATCAAAAACTTCATGGTAGCTGAAGTGCAATTCTTCCACCATCCACCTAATCCTCGTCCTGGATCGACCACTTCGGGGCTCATCTTCGACTCTAAAATCTTCAGAACAAAATATCGCATACCAACGTCGAACAGTGCGTTCATTAACACTACCAATACCAAATGCCTGTTTAATTTTTTGGGCTGTTTCAACAGCGCTTTGGTTCAATTAGAATTCGTAGAGAAAACTTGGCCGAAAATCGTTTAATGACATCATATAATGAGCTGAAAAGAGGCAAAAAGTTTAAATTTGAAAAGAATTACAGCAGTGTGTAGAGTACAAAATTATCTATCGATTAGTTTATACCACGACATACTAAAATCAATATTCATTTAGATATGGAGCTTCAAAAACACATGACATTAAAACGGACTGAATTTTTGAAACAATCTAATAGATGAATATCTTCCTGGCATGTATTCCATACACATTTGTTCGAAAATTGACCGAAATTTAGGAAAAGGTACTGTACCATCAGTTTTAATCATCTCTTGGTGATGCTAACTTGGTTAATGTAATGCACATCGTGAGCAGCATTTTTGTTCTAGTGAGGGAAAAGTGTGTTTGAGTTGACCAAGATTCAGCTAGAAACCAGTGAAATGTTTGGATAATTGATGAAAATAATGTCCACTTTTCAGTTGTCCTTTGTGAGCTATAGAAAAATTTTCTGTTATGATTCTCATTTATAATCTTGAATTGTAATAATAATCATATTACAATGTACGGAGAGGCAAAAACAAAGCCGTTTCCGCATTATCGATGCGTCCGGATTATAGTATGCCATATTTAATGGCAATAAACATTTTTTAAGCTTAGTTTTTTTAACCAATTTTTCAATTGAAGCATAAAGACAAAAATGAACATGTTAAAAATTACAACCATGTAATAAAAACAGTAAGATATTATTTGATAAATGTCTTTAATGAAATTTTGTTTTCAGGAAATCCAGATATCTCTTGGTTTAAATAAATCTACGCTAAGGTACAGGATGATACAAGAACCAAATAGTTGGTTTTCACAGTTGTCAGATTTTTTCACATTGGCGGATTATCCAATATTGAACTATTGGGCCAAAGATGTTTTGACTGAGATGCACCTTCATTTATGGAACTGTGCAATCGATTACAGGTAATTTACCTTAGATGAATTTAGTGAAGTTACATTTATATTGACTCTTTTATTATAAAATTGATTGGTTCACTAATAATCCCTATATGAAAGAATGTTTCATTGTAGATAGGTATGTCCAAAGCGAGTGGGTCTATTCAATCCTCTACTGCAACTCACGAAAATTCATTGTAGGGACACAAACTAAACTTTTAACGAAACCGATTACGTCATTTGTTGAGTAATCTTTCAGATCAGCTGGAAAGAGTGGGATTCTGCCAAATACTGAAAACCTGATTTGGTCTGCGGTGGGGCAATTACAGGGTATGTGTTCTGATACCAGAGACTGCATTTCCTTGTGAAGCATAATCCACTCCAAGATTGATGAACCGTGGTATATTTTTACCTAATGAGGAACTGATTGGCGGTCAGTCTACAACTACCTTCATCAGATAGATAAGCAACACAAATGTGTGGTTTGGGTAGTAGGTTACTGTAAGCCATTTCAGGAAGACAATTTCTCATGGCTGCAGGTACTTACAAGTCACTCCTCATCCTCCCAGGTAACCTGTAATCTTCCAGGTCAGAATATGCAGCTCTGGAATCGTACCTGTGGACCAGCATCTGGAATATCCTCTACGGCAGCCATAATGGCATAATGAAGAGGTTCCAATTAATTGCTCGATATTGAGGTTATCAAATGTTCAAGGTGCAAGATTCCTACCTTAATGAATACAGCAACCTTTTCATATTACGGCATCTGTAGTCAGCTATATGCACAATAAATTTTGCCTCCGATTTACGGAGTTTTTCAACTCAATATAATAATTATTTCATTATACACATCCAAAATATTTAAATTTGTGAGTTACTATGATTTTCAGTTTTTTTTCATCTGTCAGTATTGTATTCAGTTGTGAACATGTGAATACACTTTGTTGAGAAGCGCCAATTTTTTAGGGAGTGCTTGACTTGTGGTTGACGTTCTTGCTTACTGGTTTTATTCTGGATAAAGTTTTGAGGGACTTATATTTCCACAGACTCTCCAGGAAGAATTCCAATATATTTGTAAAAAAAATTGTGACTCGATAGGTAGAAAATGCCTCTCCCACATTTAGGAACTTAATCCCATGATGGTATTAAGAAGTTTTTATACTTCGAGATAGTTTTATTTTCTAATATTTCTGTTACAAATATGAAAACTGCTGTCTATTACAGAAATACTTCTTCACTGCAGAATAAAGAACTACTTCTGATTAATTTTCCTAATAGTTGGTGGCAAGTTATTATAACAGTTTATTGCATTGAATAAATAGGAAGCATCTAAAATGAGCCGTTTTAGGTGGAGGAATTCCTGGTAAATATATTCATATTTTTATGGTCAAATTTCAAGGTAAATATGGATGGCGTAGTCAAAAGGCCCTCTCTTAAGAAAAATTGGTCTACAACTATATTGAAATCCTTGATTAAATATCAATATCATTATTCTTTTCTGCAAAACAGAAACTTGTTGAAAATTCCTTGGCACATCCTCAAGATATAATATTAAAAACACACCTCTCTGACTAATATCACGAGAGATGTTGTAGATTTCTTACAGAGAAAGTTCTTACAGATACTTTCTGTTCGTCCAGCAGCAAAATCAATCAAATATTTGAACTGAGCATCATTAACTTGCAAGCAATGCAAACTAGCTTCTGTTGCCTCCTTTGCATTCTGAAGAATTTTGGGTGTCAGCACGTGATAATTTCTTCTAATGAATCATCTAGAGTAAGTTTATTGCGACTCGTAGACTTTCAAATATCCCAAAGACAAACATTCCAGTGGTGTCAACTCGGAGGATGTTGGTGGTCATTCTGTTTAAAAATCTGTTATTCCATTAATCAGCTGTCGCACCCCTATGACCGACAACCCTGAGAAGTCGAAACTTGTGCGAGTTAAGGATTAACGATCTTATCTTTTAACGTGTGATTCCTAACACGGTTCTGTAGAATTTCTCTTTCTGATTCATCGACCTGGAAAGTTATTATTGAGGAACTGTCACACTCGTATTATGCATCTTGTGAAAAACTATTGTACCACTCATTCGACTATTATTTTCGTTCTAAACTTTTGACGTGAGGGTGGCTGTCAAGAGGTCGATAAGATTTTTTTATAGCCCCAATATCAACTGGCTTATTTAGGCATGGTTGTTTTCAACTGAAATGCACTGTATATTTTTAGTTCATTAATGTTTCATTATTTTTATTTCATACTATGCCTTATTCGAGTTTATGAAATAGCACGGGCTAAGGACTGTTTCAATGAAATTGTTTAATTTGTTTTTTTTAGAGAGTATTCAGACAAATTCGACGACTCGCCAATTTACTGATATCTTGAAAATGAGGTCTGTAAAGTCAAGAGAATTTCATTTGTCAAAGTTGTGGAAATATCTTTAGATGCCGAATAAGTATTTTTATCAAAAATTTCCCTATCATCAATTGTCAATGTCTATTCAAATTTGCAAATGATACATAATACTGACGACATCCATGAACACGAAACAAGAATTCTGAGCTACACGAGGCATTTCATTGGATGGAAATCAATATAACATTAAAAGCTAAAGCTTTTTAATAAAGTTTTTCAAGGTCTCAGGACTCTCAATCTGAATAATACAAATCAAATCCAACAATTCCTTTTGATATTTTGCATTCCCTTATTTGTTATTTAAAGTGCCCACGGATTTTAGCTATTGGTAACAATTTCTTAATAATTCTCAATTGGAAATGATGATAAATAAAATGGATTTATTATTATTAAATTTGTCAGCATGCAGAAATATCTTTGAGTTTTTCTTAAATCAAATAAATTATACCTTATAGTATAAAGCGATTTTTCTGTATTTTTTAAATCATTTTTAGACCTCTACATTTACCAATCCGAACTGCCCTTACCATGGATAACTTCAGTATAACCACGAACGTGTCCTCTCTGACTAGTTCGTCAACCGCTTCGTTTACTTTGGAAGAAATTGCTCTCCTTTTTAGCGAAAGGTTTCCACCCATAGACGGAAAAGCATCCTCTGCACCAATTAATTTGAAAAGGGATTACTTCCATGTGGTCGGGCTGGGATGCTTGGATTTCAGTTTGAAAATTAATGAAAAGGTAACCTTCCAAAATGTTTCTATATTTTCTTGTACTCATTTGGAAGTCACAATTGATATTATTCCATCAGTATAATCAATCGTACCTGGAATGTTATTTTTTCTGTTTTAACATTTCTTTGAAACAGATTTAGAGGTATTAAATACTAAATTGTGTTCACAAGATAATATAATTCCATCAATAACCTCTTTGATTCTTGCTAGTACATATTGACAAAAATGTCAATATTTTCTGAGATATCGTTACAAAAAATTAAGGACCCAGTACTAATTCCTGAAGAACTCTTAAGTTACATCATGTTCCTTGAAGAAACAACTACTCCCCTGGCTAATACCACAAGGGCGTTGGATGCTGTTGGTGATACAATTGCTGCAATAGATTTTCAATTATTGGAACACACTTGCAGGCTGGTTTTGGGCTGTTTGGCCACTCGTCAGTGCAAGGTAGTGTCTATCATCAATATAAATTCGATGATTTCCGATAATTGCAAATCGTATTCCTTCCGAGTATCATTCCTCGAACTAGGCTGAAACGGACAACAAACAATAGTTTGTTTGAAGGTGGTTGACAATGTTTCGTGGTGCATTTCATTAGTTCGGACTTCCATTGTCTAATATGATATAAATTGATTTGAAATCCGTGACAGAATCTGTAAAAAATTAAAAAGATTAGCTGAACAATAACAATTTCATTAAGGAAAAACTGAAATTACAATGAAATAACATACAAGCAACAATCAAAAAAATAATAAGAAATGAAAATTGAAAATTAAGATTCCAATCCAAGTTACTTCACTACGTTTCGATTGTTAGTATTCACAATCGTCTTCAGGTGATAACTGGACTTATTCCTCCGAAATCTGACTATTTATAGGTCATTCGAGTGTTATTCCGGAATAGAAGAGCATGTTTGGACTCTTCAATCCACAAGGAGGAACACTGGTTTAGGAGAAAATTCAAAGAAGCCGCATATATGTCGTCCAACAGCGCGTTTAGCCAAGCTAGCGTAGAGATAAGTAACATATGGAAACCTTTAATCAAGCGGAACACGACCAACTCCCGCCAAACGTTCAGCTTGCGCTATAACCAATGAAGCGGAGACAGGGAAGAGGGGATAGGTGAAAGCACTCGAATGACCTATAACTAGTCAGATCTTGGAGGAATAAGTCCAGGTTATCATCCGAAGATGATTGTGGATATTAACAATCGAAACGTCGTGAAGTAACTTGGTTTGGAATCTTTTACTTTTTAATTTTCATTTCTTGTTATTATTTTTTAATTTTTTTGGTTGTTGCTTGTATGTTATTTCATTGTAAAAGATTCCAATCCAAGTTACTTCACTACGTTTCGATTGTTAGTATTCACAATCGTCTTCAGGTGATAACTGGACTTATTCCTCCGAAATCTGACTATTTATAGATCATTCGAGTGTTATTCCGGAATAGAAGAGCATGTTTGGACTCATCAATCAACAAGGAGGAACACTGGTTTAGGAGAAAATTCAAAGAAGCCGCAAATATGTCGTCCAACAGCGCGTTTAGCCAAGCTAGCGTAGAGATAAGTAACATATGGAAACCTTTAATCAAGCGGAACACGACCAACTCCCGCCAAACGGTCAGCTTCCGCTATAACCAATGAAGCGGAGACAGGGAAGAGGGGATAGGTGAAAGCACTCGAATGACCTATAACTAGTCAGATCTTGGAGGAATAAGTCCAGGTTATCATCCGAAGATGATTGTGGATATTAACAATCGAAACGTCATGAAGTAACTTGGTTTGGAATCTTTTACTTTTTAATTTTCATTTCTTGTTATTATTTTTTAATTTTTTTGGTTGTTGCTTGTATGTTATTTCATTGTAATTTCAATTTTTTCCTTAATAATGTTGTTATTTTTCAGCTAATCTTTTTAATTTTTTACAGATTCTTTCACGGATTTTAAGTCAATTTATATCATACTACTACTATGTTGCTGTGTCGCAGCTGTTCCAATGTTTTGACATTGCTTTCAAAAAAGTTGTTCTACAGCGCCATCTAGTGGCGAGTTACAAAAAAATTGATAGCCTAGAAACATTCTCTATGAAAAATTACTTATACATGTCAAGTTTCATCATGATCGGTTGAGCGATGTAGAAGTTTATCACTTACCAACCAACAAACATCCATTTTTATATATATGATTAGACAATGGAAGTCCGAACTAATGAAACCTGTGAAAGAGGTTACCAACTGCATATCCGAAATTAATTTACAGTGTGAGGAGTTGAGACTGGCCTGAATGAATTTTTCCTTGAGATGATTTGATATATAGCCAGTCTTCACGTATACCCACTGACTACATGTGAAAAGTTTTCTTTCCTTATACGAAGAACTGGTCGAATTTCGGATATGCGTTTGGTTACCTTGTTCATAGGCAGATGGGGCGATGACAAACCTGTTGTCAGCTTCAGCCTAGTTTGTGGAATGATACTCTGAAGGAATTCTATTTTCAATTATCGGAAATCATCGACTTTATTACTTGTGTTGCACTGTTTGGAACCTTTGGTGTAGTAATGAGTATTACTGGAGTTTTTTCCCAAAACCAAACCGTTATTTCAACACCTAGACACGGGTTTCGATCACCAAGTGATCATCTTCAAGATGAATATCTTCCACTTCGACACGTGTTTCGATCCCCAAGTGATCATCTTCAAGTGGAAGATATTCATCTTGAAGATGATCACTTGGTGATCGAAACCCGTGTCTAGGTGTTGAAATAACGGTTTGGTTTTGGGAAAAACTCCAGTAATATTCATCGAGTTTATGTTGATGATAGACACTACCTTGCACTGACGAATGGCCAATCAGCTTGAAACCGGTCTACCAGTGTGTTTCAATAATTGGAAATCTGTTGCGGCAGTTGTATCACCAACAGCATATGCAGGAATAACTTCAGTGAATAATCCTGCACTGTCGGATATAATTCAACGCCCTTCGTGGTATTAGCCAGGGTAGTAGTTGTTTTCTGATAGGTGTCAGTCCATTAACCGACCGTGTCGGGAGTTGAGACTGGCCAGAACGAATTGTTCCTTTAGATGATTTGATTTATAGCCAGCCATCAAGTATGCCCACTGACTATATGTGAAAAATGATACTGTTCTATTTGACAGTCGTGTAAGGCTTTAACTAAGATAATCTTATAACCTACCTTGGTATTTATGCAATTACCAAAAAGTAGCTCGGCCAAGGCTAGTCGATTATTGTCGGGGCTGGACGTGAATAAGGAAAGTATGTTTTTTTTACAGTCGAAATAGATGAAAAAAGTAAGCCCTGGGGCTTATCTATAGAAAATTTGATGAAACAGTCAAGTGCCATTGACAGATTAAAAAATATACTTATTACAAAATTATTGGCCTACTAATTTGAAAATCATTGGCTGCGGTTTCTATAGAATGATTTCTCCAAAGTCAAATTATTTGACTCTGAGTAACTCACTATTCAAGTAGCCATCACTTTTGTATACTATTATTCTTTAGAATATACCTATACCAAAATAGTCATTTATATTTGGGATGCAAAGTTTTTAACCACCTTGATGACTCGATTAAAAAATCTCCAAATATTGATATTTTCAAATCCAGACTTGAAGAAATACTCATTGAGAAAAATTGTTACAATATTGATGAATTTATGTCATAGTTCTATCATTTAACCTGTTTGACAATCGATTTTTCAGTTAAAAGTAATAAATTTTAATAAAACAACGATAAAAATAAAAACAACAATAAAAATTAATTGGCGCTCCGGGGCGACTTCATTGATTCCAGTGGCGCATTTGCTTTTTCAGCTGCAGGAAAACCCGGAAAAACCTGCAGCACCACATCATCTGAAGATCTTGATCTANATTCTCCTTCCGAGTTCATGAACGAATAACAGAGACTCCGGGCCATAAACCCCAAAAGTTTCATCCGCTACTGGATGGAACAGATAGTTGTTACTTCCGGCTAGATGGGAAGTGGCGACCGTGTCAACGCAAGTGAAGTCCCATACCACAGGTTTACCGTATTTCCATGATATGAGAGACATATCATCTCGTCGTTTACCATCATCTCGTTTCAATATGTCGTTCACTTGGTGATGTCGAGATGTACGCCCTGCACTTCTCCTGCAACTCAAACCATGTGTACCTTTCTCATCAACTATTTGTATATTTGCACTGATGATCGAATAACATGTTCGGGAAATTATTTTTCACACTGATTTTATTTTTTTTTGTTTTTTATATCCTGATAGCGGAAATACTTTGACAGCGAATTCAATGAGAGCTGCAAAGGAAGTGTGTTTTCAATTGTTCTTAAGGATCCTAAATTTTTCGCAGAAACTCGGATGCCAGCTTTTGTTTTTTAGTCTTCATTTTTCGTAGAGAAATACATATTAAATATTCTATTTAAAATCTTGTGAAAATATTCTTTTGGGCCTGGTGTGAATAATACTTTTCACCAACCGATAGAATTACAGTGATTCTGACTATTTTGAAGCATTTTTTTATAAATAGATATTTTTTTACTTTAATATGTGGTAGGATCTGAGAGATCTGACGGAATTACATATGTACTCGTAGATAGGTACATCTTGTTTTTCAAAATTTATACATTTGTGGTCAATAATTGTTGCAGAGTGATTTGTCAAATTTGTAGAGTCGTCGAGTAATATCCTCAAAGTGAAACAACGAAACATATTATTCAACATGTTTCAACCTTTCTTCACCAGTTTTAAAGGCTTTCTGTAGATTCAGATAAACTGCCCCTATTACTTTTTATCTATCTCCAGCCTCAATCTAATCGTCAAGGCTGTATGGCTCTTTCACAATTATGTTTTCCATTATTATATCTTAAATCATTGATGTGATTTTTCAGGCTACTTCTGAAAATCCTCGACTGGATCTTCGCATATCGAACAATATCTTGAGGTTCAACACTTGTGCAGACAGTGCAAAAATGTTACTAGAATTCTTAACTTATATATCAAGTGAAGGTGACCTCACATATGATCTCGAAGATGATAGTCCGTTTCCGAGTCCGAAACTCAATAAAGGTCAGGATCAACAGCTGATAAATATCGATTCAAAAATACCAGTTAGAAGTAACATTACGACGAATGATCAAGAACGTCTCAAAATGGATCTTTTCGAAGCTATGCAAGAAGAAACCGTAAAAGATGAAAAACAAGGTAATATAATGCATTGATTTACTCCCATTTGGCATATAATGTTATTTTATGGGGGAATTGTGTAAATTCTGGAAGAGCGTTCATATGTCAGAAGCAAATTATCCGTCTCATTTTTAATATAAAAAATAGAAACAGCTGTAAAGCCGCTTTTTCAAAGTACAATATTCTAACATTTTCCTGTATTTATCTATATAAATTATCAATATATGCAAAGCAACATATTAATAAATTCACAAAAAACTCGGATTACCATTCATATCCTACAAGAAACGCAGATGCACTTTCAGTTACAACGCATAATCTGAAGACATTTGAAAGATCCCCATACTAACCACAGCAGAATTACCCAATCACAATATCACAACAAGGCACGGCAGGTTTATATCCGTCAAAAGACGTAATTTCATATTCGAAAACCAGAATTTGACTGAAATCAAATCTTCCTAACGTTATCATTCAGTTTCACTCACGAAATGCCACAGAGCGGATGGACGAAAAAAAACGTTCCTTTTTTTTTCCTTTCAACAAAAAAACTTACCGAGTCGGCTGGAACTATATATCGGGTGTTTCACAAATAAAGTTATTCTAATTTAATAATTAGGGTTCAACTATTTACAACTGAACAAGGGAAATTCCTAGAAATCTTATCTTTCAACAAGTGCTACAAACGGATTTGACCTTGAACCTCAATTCTCAAGATCAACTACTTTAAAAAATCCAAAAGGAGCAGAAAATGTTACATTCAAAAATGTATTCAAGTCCAGGGTTGATGACACTCGATTCTTCTTTTTTTGAAAAACAGAAAAATTGCTTGGACATAAAAGGACTTTTCGTTAACCCTTTTCAATTCCAGTATTAAAAGTAGGACTTTCCATATCAAAAACTTGAGTTGACCTTTGAATGGTCTTGAAAATATCGCTATCCTTACGAAATTTGTAGGGGTTTCAATATTCTTTCTGGCTTGATGTAAGTCAAGGTGATTAAATTTATGATGAAATGAAAATCACACAATTAACAACAACTAAAGGCAGGTTTTTCTCACAATATTTAGTAAATTTTGACTAATAACATTTCACCTATTTATTTCGCCATTGAATTCAACTGATTGCAACTTTCCAGTTGCCGTTAACTGTCAAAAGATATAATAACATTTATTCTTCTTGTTAAAAAGTTTACATTTTTTCACAAGAAATAATTCCAAGTCCCGGGTCTAAGAAAGAAACGCGTGTTATTTGTTCAAAATTAGCTTCATTCATCAACGTAATCTCCATCAAGAACCACACATTCATTCCAGCGCTGCTCTAACATTTTAAAACCACTTTTGTAGGACGATTTATCTTTTACCTCAAAATAGGCATCAGTTTCAGCAACAACCTCTTCATTCAAGCAAAATTTCTTATTGGTGAGCTTTTTTTGAGGTCTGCGAACAGCCAGTAGTCGCTAGGAACCAAATCTAGCGAATGTGGTGGATGTGGGAGCAATTCGAGGTTCAATTCATGTAGTTTTGTCATTGTTTTAATTGACTTGTGACATTGTGCATTGTCTTGATGAAACATTTTTTTCTTTGCCATTTGTTTGTTTGCAATTTTGGCCTTCAAACGTTCCAATAACGCTATATAATATTCACTGTTGACGTTATTTTCCTTCTTAACATAGTCGATGAATATTACACCATGCACATCCCAAAATACCGAGGCCTTAACCTTTCCAGCCGATTGTTGTGCTTTCGGGCGCTTTGGACAAGGTTCTCTAGTTGCTCTCCACTCAAATGACGATTGTTTTGATTCAGGAGTGAAGTGATGAATTCATTGTCACATATCGATGCAAAAATGTTTATGAATAAACATGACCAAACACTGCTGAGAATCATCAATACATTCTTGTTTTTGGTCAACAGTGAGCTTGCGTGGTACCCACATTGAATAGAACTTTGTCATAGTCAAATGCTCATGAAATATAAAGCCAACACGTTCTTTTGATATCTTTACAATATCAGCTAACTTACGCAATTTCACTTTTTGATCATTTAAAACGATTTTGTGGATTTTTTTAAAGTTTTCTGGTGTTACTGCCTCATTAGGACCATCGTTGTCTCTACAACCACATTTGAAGTCAGCAAACCACCATTTAATTATTGTTTCTGATGGAGCAGAGTCCTCATAACACTTTTCAAGTCATTGCTTCGCTTGAATGGTATTTTTCCTATCAAGAAGCAGTGTGAAATTAAAACACGAAATTGTTTTTGATCCATCTTAGTATAGTGTCACTCTTAGCACAATAACTCACAAACCTATGA